GAGAGAGAGAGAGAGAGAGAGAGAGAGAGAGAGAGAGAGAGACCCCTATGAGGAGTGGGTACCTTCAGAGGCCCCAAGAGGGCGTCTGATCCCCTGATACTGCAGTTGTAGGTGGATGTGAGCTGCCTCACATGGGTATTCTATAAGAGGAGTAAGAACTGTCTCCCTTACCAATGAGCTGTCTCCCTCCCTGTGCTTTAGGGTGTACACCAGGGTCTCACTCTGTAGACCAGGCTGGCCTCAATCCCACAAGCTTTCTGCCTCAGCCTCTTGAATTCTAGAATTATAGGCACAAGCACCATGTCTGTACATAATACTATTTTGACCTTCAGAAACATAGTATGTTCTGAGTATCTCAAACTATCCCCCAACTGTGTCTTGAATTTAGACACATTTGCTTTAGTTTAGTTAGAAATATTTTCCAACAAGTGGAGTACCTTAAAACAAAAGGATCTTAAAGACCATGTAAGTATCTTTAACTTCAGTTTTGCTTGTGTCTTTTGTTGTTTCTGAGGCAAGGCCTCATAACCCAAGCTGGTCTCCCTTGGGTTTACAACCCTGAATTCCTCATCCCCCCACTTCCCTATCTCAAGAGCTGGGGTCAAAGCCATGTGCCACCACACTGGGCTTATAACTTTATAACTTTACTTGAAGAATTCAACTCAACTGAATTAAGCAAGGGTTTTTGAGTGTTTGCTACAAGCAGGGCATTGTGCTGAGCTTGGCAGGAAAAACTTTTAACACACAGCCCAAGCCTGATATAGAATTTCTTTTTTTTTTCCAGAGAATTTTACAGGTAATTTAAGAAAGTACCTAGCCCGTTGTTAATATGAAACTGAGCATATAAGTTATTATATACACTATTCTGTGACTGTATGAGCATGGCCATGTGTTAGCTGGCATAGGTAAGCAAAGGAGCTGGACTTTCTCCAAGACAGAGCCTTTACATGAATATTCCATAACCTTAGAGTGCTCACTAAGCACTTGAGAAATACTTGTCAAATGTGCTGGGGGCCCAGTGGTGTTTATGGTCAAACCTGCAACCCAGAAGCAGAACAGGGAAAGGTGGTATTGCTCTGTGGTTAGAGGGCTCGCCCAGCATCCTTCCAAGCCTGGGTCCATTCTAGGGATGGTGGGTGATGAATCACTGGGGACAGAAGTGATTTTAGAAGATAGAGAAATTAGTTCTCCTCCTAGCATGGTCCTCTGATCTGTTTTGGGGAATGGATGGAAGGAACACAGGGCTTCCTACATGAAAATAAATGCTATCACTGAGCCACATCCACCTCCATCCCCTTCTCTTTCATCTTTTACTTTACTCCTATGTTTGCATTCCAACAACGAACCACTTTGTCGTTCGAGAATCACTCCCCTCAGGAAGTAAACCAGATAAAGCCAGGCTATGGTCCCCGGCTCAGGTCTCAGGGCTTTTCAGACACATGGCCAGTCTGTGCTGTGAGCTGAGGCTCTAGGTAAGGAGACTGGAAAGCAGATGATGAGACAGCAGACTGTTAGTGTGGATCCAAGCGGGTTACAAAGTCAGGAAGAAAAGGGGTGAGGAGGTATGTCCTCCTCCAGAAGGAAAAGCATTGTCCAGTTTAGTTTGCAGAGAGGACAGAGGCAGGGAGCTGAGTGTCTCTGCTCGCCATGGTTGAAGAGACCAGCTCTTACTTGGACCAAGAGGTTCTCCACGTCCTCTACCTGGGTGCTGCCATAGAAGCTGACCCCTCCAATCACAGATATAGGTCGCCTTCTCCGGCCTCCCTTGGAACAGCCTGAGGGGGCGCATGGATCCTGGCTGGTGGTGGTCACACTTGCTGGGCGCATCCTGTCCACGTGGTCTTCATCTGGAGGGTCTGCAGCAATGGCATCTTCAGGAATGGACAGGCTTCTGATGGCCAGCTGGCCGTAGTCAGACAATGGTCGTGGCCGGGTGTGCCTCCCCGAGCCCCACCTCCTCCTGGAGATTCGAGGTACCTCATTCTGCTCCTCCTCCAGGCCTGAGCCCTGCCGCCAGTCATTCTCAGTCACCACCTTTGCAAATGAACAGGCTGAGTGAGCTCAGAGATGCAGCCAGGTATGAACAGTGGAGCAGCCGCCTTCTGCCCCCTCCCACTCTGCAGAACCAGACAGTGAGAGACAATTCACTGTGGATTAAATGAGCCGAATTTTATTCCAGACTGAATTAACTCTGCAGTTTAAGAGATCTTTGGGGGACCAGAGATGAGCTACAGTGAGACATTAAGAATGCCAGCCAGTCTACAATAATAAAATGAATATACAGCTAAGGTGGGTGTTCTCCAAATATGCTTAAGAGCAGGAGGTTAGCCACAGCAGCCAGAAGTGACTGTATAATAAGTTAAATGTGTAACAAGATCTACATCTTCTTTCAGTGTGGATGATACTGACACATAGAAGGTGCAATGAGATATATCCAGGGTTGAGAGGGCTCAACATATGAGGACCCCATCCCACAGCCACAGTCTGATGGGAGTGGCCTAAACTAGGTAGGGTTTCTGAGCTATCAGACTACAAACACTGTGTAGGCTTGGACAAGTCAAGGCTGCTAACCTTGGCTCTCAGACTGGATACATTACACAGTCCCATTTTCTATGACCCTCAGCTGAGCACGGTGGTCCATGCAGCAATCTCAGTGCTTGGGAGACAGAGACAAGAGGACAGTGGATTCAAGCCTGCCTGGGATAAAGAAGACAAAGATTCCTGACTCTAAAAGTGACCACGCTTTTTTGCTGGAGGTCCCTGGATCAAACCTAGGGCCTTGTGGGTGCTGAGCAAGCACTTCACCAAGTATTACCACCAAGTTACACACAAACCACTTCTAATTCTTCAAATAAGTTTTCCATCTTTGGGGGAAGGGAGGACAGGATTTTGCTATGGATCCCAGACTGGCTTTGAGCTCTAACCTACTCCCTGTCATTCCTGTGTAAGCAGTTATGGACCACCAGGCCCACCCAGGCTATATACTTTCTCAAAAGCAATCAGGAAAACATGCACAGTTTGGAATGGGGCAGACTTCCATATCCATCACTGTGAGGGCCAGGGGCTGGTTGAGCAACCTCAGGCAAGTGACTGAAATGCCTGTTAGAAGAACAGGCAGGATAGGCCTTATCAGGTTAAGTCAACTGTCACTCTACAAAGATGGTCACAGAGTAGCATCCTCAGAGCTTTCCCTGCCTGGAAATAGGTACCCATCTACTTGACAGATCCCAAAATCTGGACACAGAAAGGACTGGGCTGGTCCAGATACTGACATTAGTTGTCAGCACCAGGCACAACAGTTACTCTGAGCCAAGCCTGAACTTCTTTAAATACCCAGCCCAATACAGTGTGTGTGTGTGTGTGTGTGTGTTGTGGCAATCTTCCTGCCCCATACTCCCAAGTGCTGAGATTACAAGCAAGGGCTAACCATCTGGCTTGTCTCTATTCATTTTTTAAAAAACACAAATCAAAAAGGGTATAAAGCCACAGGTTGGGGGGAGGATGCTGGGATATGCTGAGGAGGCAGAAAAGACTACACAGGAAGCCAGAGATGGCAGCAGAGCAGGCCGTGGGTGGCTGTCAAAGGCAGGTGGCCAAGGGATGACACAGTAATCTGAGGCAGTCTGGCCCCACTCTGTCCATGAGAGTCTGGGCCAGAAGGAAGTTAAATGGTGGAGGCCCAGGAAGAGGAACTTCGTGCCAGTAACAACAGAGTCCTAACATGAAGGCTTGTTTAATTTCCAGTCTGGCATGTTTGAGTGTTCACTAAGATTATACCAGAGTCTAAGACCAGTCTGAGTAACACAGTGAGACTCACAACTCAAAAGAAAAAAAGATACAGCATACATGTATCAAATTAAAATTCTAAACCCCATAAAGAAGTACAGCTCATCAACCAAGAAAACCTGTGCTAACACAGCAGCTGGAACATTGGAGTGGCATTTTCTTACTTTGTGTGAAGATGCACCAGTGTATGTTCAATCGTTAACTCTGTACTGGCAGAGAGCTAGGTGCTGGCAGGGTTCTAATATTGCCATTCTATAGTCTGTCACCGGGTTTTCTATATGTAACTGCTTGCCTTTCCTCGCCTGCTGTATCTATAACATATCAGAGGTTGCCTCGCTACTGACTGGTATAATAAAGAGCTGACGGCCAAAATCTTGGGCAGGAAGTAGGAGGCAGAACTTCCATAGAGAGAAGAATGGAGGGCAAAGGAAGAGAAGTAGGAGACTCAAGAGCTGACATGGAAAAGAACAAACAAGTATTGTAGCAAAGCAGAGAAAGGTATAGAGCTAGCCGTGTGGTGGGCTGTAGGCTAGACAGTCAGGGTAAGTTAGATGAGATAGCTGGAAGACTGCCCAAGCAAAAGGCCCAAGCTTTAAACTATAACAGAAGTCTCGTGTTATTAATTATACCATGGCATGTTCGAGAAAGTTGCGCTATACTGAAATGTAGAGACACTCTAATTCGCCTCTTCATTCTTCACTTTATAGACACTGAAAGAGAAAGCAGTGTAGTGGTTTGCCCAGGGCCACACAGCCACTCAGAGGACCTCTGAACTTCCATTGAGCCTGTCTGTGCTGCGGTCTGGTACCTTCCAGACACTGAGGGGCAGATTATACTCCACGAATTATGTGAGACTAAGACACTTGAGAAAAGTTGCCCCCAACTCTGTTACCTGGATGCAACAGTCTCCCCAGTGAATTCCATGGTCCTAAGGCCCCCTCTAAATCTCATTTTCTTATACTGCTGGGGAAGGGGAGAACCACGGCCCTGGTTTTCCTGAGTTACTCTCCTACTGGCCTATTTCTCATAAGAGACTCGTTCCCACTCAACTTCCTTCCTCTCCTACTTGAGATCCTCACCACCCACTAAGAGTAATTTTTCTGTGAAATCAGCACACACCCAGGAGGAAATATATATGTTTTTATCCTTCATAACATCACCATGGGAAAAAGAAAAATCATAAAGTTATTGTTTTCTGAATTTATGAAAATCGGATTATTAATGGGGGACTGAAACAAATTACTAACTTGAATGACATAGGCAACTCAAATACACAGTAAGAATAAATCCACTTACATAAAGTCATTTAAAAAGGGTAAGCAACAACTTGCTAGAAAACCAGAAGAAGTGTGCGGAACAAAACCAGAGGCGTAGAGTAGTCTAACTACTACAAACATTAAAAAACACCACAGTTGTTTTTTTAATGGTTAGAAGCTGCTTTGTGCTTATGCAACATGCAGCTTGTATTTTCTTACTGATGCCAAAAATAAAGAAATATACCAGGAAGTGACCGGGGCTGGGCAAGGTAGACACAGGCAAAGCAGCCCTGCATGTGTTCTTGACGTGCCTCTGTGCCAGCTACTGTCTGAATACAGGCAGCACAAATGGAATCCACTGTAACCGGACTTCAGTGTTTGCACAGTTCCCCTGGAGATGCCAGAGGTGGCACCCTCTAAAAGGCACCAAAGTGCCTTAGGGATCTCAAAATCTAGCGACTAGCACATGAAGTTGAAACACGCATTTTAGGAGAGAAGCCTGAGTTTGAGCTCACATTCCAGTGTTGCTCCTCAGCTAAAACGACAGGTCCCTTCCAAAGCCAGTGCGGACTTGGCTTCAAACGGACAGACCCAGGCATGCCAGGAAGGACACTACTCATAGGTGCACTGTTCTAAACTATATACTTTTTCCTTTTAAGCAAAGTTTTTGTGCTTCTAAAAATATTGTCCAGGTTCGCTGCAAAGACTGTAGATTAACAGGCCCATTCTTAGAACTTTTAACATATATTCCAAGCAAGCATCCTTCCCTGCAGGCTGAAACCTACCTGAGATTTAGCCATGGGCAGGGGCGGCCCACAAACACACTGGAGGAACAGGCAGTTGACCACATCCATGTATTCCAGAGCTTTTCAGGTCTTTTAAAGGCTGTAATTAGGGCCCTACTCGGCCAAGCAGAGCTCTGACTGGTCCAGTCCAGCAGGCTCAACTCACTGTCTCCAAGTCCCTGAAGCTTGAGCCACCAAGTCACACCCAAGTCATAAACCTTTGTAAACAGACCTTGCACTCTGGGGACTGCCCTTTTAACTCTTGCTTTGCTGAACTCTTGAAAAGTGGCTTTCCTGGTCAGTGAGCAGTATTTTCTTCCTATACAGGACTTCTTTTTTCCAGCTCCAAAAATGAAAGACTTATACAAACTAATATAATATAAACAGCTTCCTGGAACATTTCTGTGAAAGGAAATTATTAACTGGAGATTAAAAATAAATACTTAAAAGAGCCTGGTATGATAGCATCTATTCAGAAGCAGTAAGCAGGCACAGGCTTAGCTGGCAAGTGCCCCCAGACAGATGGACTCCTAACCACTCTGAGTGTCTGCCAGTGTGCTTTGCAGAGTGATCTTTCAAATGGGCTCACCCTGGATTAGGTGGGTTCTAAGCCAATGGCTGTTGACTTTATACGCTAAGGAAAATCTGGATACAACACAAAGGAAGCAAGCTACCTGAGGTGGACTAGAGAGTGATGTTGATTTATCTATCTGGACGCAGGGTTTTATGCAGCCCAAGTTAGTTAGCTTCAGTCTTGACCCCAGCTGAGGATGATCTTGAACTTTGATATTTCTGCCTCCACTTACTAATTTGGGGGGATTTCATAGTGCTAGGCAGGCGTTCTAACAACTGAGTGCTGTCCCTAGACGAGGAGTGACACATTAACAAGGCTTGATGAATGTCACTTCCACCAGAAGCTGGAGAAGGTGGAGCCTTGCAGAGACTGGATTCTGAGACACTGTGACTTGGAACTTGTGGCTTCCAGACTCATGGGGTGGTAACTGTCTGTTGTCACAATCAACGAGAAGTTTAAAGCTGGCCTGAGCAGCATGGCACTGGTGTGCATTTGTGTGAGGTTTACATATATGTCCTAGGATATTAAGTAAGAACTTGGAAGATCCCAGGTGAACGACAGGTTTTCAGAGTTCAAAACAAGTGCAGAGACATAAGTAGGACTTATGACCCACGAGGTAGAGACAGAAAGGTG